AACCGTAAATTTGTTTTACAGCTGTAGTCGTAATTCTCCCAATAAAAGCCGTAAAATAGTTGGTCGTAAAATTACGGTAAAGTTTTAACAGTGTACTAGAAGTAAAAAGAATCCCATTTTTGTTCCTACCTCCAAATCCCAATTCAGTCCCAGATCCAGACCCCGAAAACTTGCCAAAACGGGTCAAAACAGGGACATCGGATTCCACCTTGGTATTACACCCAATCCCTTCTATAGACCCCAAATATTACAATTTACGGATCCCCGAGATCATCAAGTCCAACCGTTCGTTGGTTTGAGCCGTTTTTAAGGTCATTATTTACACAGGGAACATTTCTTCTAGATGTAACGACCCTAAAACTTTCAGGTACCTAGCTCAATTTGTTCTCGAGTTCTCGTGATCAGACAGACGCGAAACTTTAAGGGCACTGAGGTGATAGCCTTCGCGTTTCTGTGCCAATTATTGTGCTTACCATTTATCCCGATAGATCCATCAAACGAACCAGTTATGATTACGTGACAGCCTGCAATAAAGAAAAAAAGAAAGGAAATAAGACACTGAAGATCTCTTCTTCGTGTGGGTTACCTATAGCCACTAAGCGTGAATAGTCTAATTTTGACCATAAACAGTTGCAGTTTTGCATATTGACAAACTTGTATCCAACGACGAGAATTTCCATTGATGTCCTAAATTAAGATACAGATTTGTCATTTGCGTGGTAGAGATTTGCATCTGTTTAAGATGTGTTAAAAAACAGCATCCAACAATGGAAATATTTGTCCTTTCAATAGACGCTTAAAGTTAAGAGTTGAAGCAGTAGTTATTATTACCATTTGTGTGGATATGTCCAGAAAAGCTCCCTCGGATATATCTCGTACACCTTTTCGATCGTTGAAGTAGGCGTCCTGTGAAAATTGGTAGTGCTGCAGTGATCTACAAAACGTTTTGCATTTGTTTGTTTCGTAAGCTGGTGACCTAAAATTTTCAGGGTATCTCATTTTCATCATGAAAAGACAGAATTGTATTGAATTTGGGCTCTCTATTCTCTACTGCAAGAAAAAAAAGTATTGCTTTTATCTCGGGGACAGCGAATCAACTGATACTGATAGAATCACGAAAAGAGGCGCCAACGCCAGTGACTCACCTTTTTCTATTGTTCACTTGTGTATTTCTGTTT